GCGAGTGGTGAAGCCATAGCATCAATAGCTGAGTTCAAATTGTCCTTGAATGCATACCTTAAAGAGCTTGTGTCTTCCCCAGTGCGATCATTGGCAGATGTTATAGCTTTCAACCAAAACTTCTCTGATTTGGTGAGAGTGTAGACCATAAAGAGCTTTTCCAGATTCAGCCAACATGATTAAAGATCATACTCAAAGATGTTCTATTTGATTTTTGTCTTTCAGGAAATGATCAAGGAATTTCCCCAGGATATCTTTCTTGAAGCCGAGGCAACAGATGGGATTGGTGATGTACAGAAGGTCGCATTGGAAAGTTTAGCAAATCTTTCAAAGAATGGATTCGAGAAGTTGATGAAGGAGAACAAACTGGATGCAATGGTAACTCCTATTGCAGATGCTGCTCCTGTGCTTGCAATTGGTGGATTCCCAGGAATCAGTGTGCCGGCTGGATATGATAATGAAGGGGTTCCTTTTGGCATTTGTTTTGGAGGACTGAAGGGCAGAGAGTCAAAGCTTATTGAAATTGCTTACGGTTTTGAGCATGCTACTAAGATTAGGAAGCCTCCATCAGTCAACCCTGGAAAATCTAAAGAAAGTGCTTAAGGAATCACACTTCCTCAAGTGAAAACTGTTTCAATATTTCCTTCCAAAAAGTATGAAAGGTGTCATTTATGCTTTTACCATATATTGTTATGTGCATCTACATGTCGCCGTGAAACATTGATTCATTGTCTTTGTAAGTTATTTCATTTTAGAATTTGAATAATGGAAGGTGTTTTCCACGTCGTGTTATCCAATTGTTAAACCAATGAAAAAGAAAGCCAAAAAACAAAAGTAGACAGGCTAAATACGTGGAGGTCGGAAGAACCATGGAATCTGTAAAAGGACTAAAGATATCCCACCAACTACTAAAGAAAGAAATGATTTTACACGACATGTCCTTTGTTTTCAATTATTTCCTTGGCTACAGTCGATAAAGTTGAAAATGTGAAGAATGTTGCCAATTAAAATGAATAGTCTTAACAAAATTGACAGTGACAATAACCTTAAATAGTGTTAAATACTCAAATAAAGTTCTTTCCTATCAAATTTACATTTTTTTAAATTAAAAACAGAATTATTTTTTATTATATAATTTCAACAGTAAGATTTAGACCCAAATTTTAAGTACAAAACACCACTGCAGAGACGGAAAAATTTTTTGTTAAGAAATGCAGAAGAAAAGGTTATGCATACTCAATGCCTTCTCTTTGGTCCCTACCATGAAGCATCAAAAGAAAAATCGTTGTTCATCATGTCTGCTAGTGCTTTCTACAGTATGGGTGCCCTTAATTGAAAGATATTTTCTTTATTTTTTTTTTTAATACTGGGAAATTGAGGGAAGGAGGATGATATTACAAAGAATTGAATCATGAAAAAATTCATGGCCAAGGTGCATCCTATCAATGCAGTTACAATTACGGGTGCTGAAGATATTTTCTTTGCTTGAAAGGCTGAAAAATAATGGAAGAATAATCATCTGCTAAAAAATCCTAGATGAGGACAGGCATTGGTCAACACAGCCAATGAATTATGCAAAGAACAAGAAATTTATCATGGAGATTCGAATATTCCACAATTGAAAACGAAACTTCGAAGTGATCCACTCAGGAAAAAACCATCAAGTTCCGAAACACTTACCATTTTTTTTTTTTTAAGGGGGGGAATATGGGGATGGGAAAGAATACGAAGTAATAAGAAGGTAAAAATAGAGAGAGTTATTTGGATGTTCGCAGTGAATTTTCTTGAGAGTTCTTTGGATGTTGACGGCGAGGTTCTTCTTACTTTTGTCACTTTATTTATGCCCTATGATGATTGCATAACAATCTTTAAGTAATAAGGCTTTGTAAATTTAAATGTTGGTATCTATCATGTACATAATTTTTAGTTATATCTAGTGTTATAAGTTCTTGTTTTTAGGTATTTATATTAAGAACTTATATATAATTTCTTTATTTTATGAATTTTAACTTAAACACATTCATAATTTAACATTTATCAATTGTACATTAAGGTGCATAACTAAATTTCAAAGTTAAATCTTAAAATGAATGGAGAGTGATTTGTGAAGGGGATAATTATTTCTAATTATATAGTTAATTACTACAAGTAAAAAAAATAACTATATTTGAAAAAAATAAGAAAAAACCCAAAAAAAAGGAGGGTTGGGGAAGGGAAAGACAGGTTTTGCAGCTGATATGGTCTATAAAAGGTGGACGAACCTGTGAGCCAAGAAGCACCAAAACAGTATACTCATGGCTAAAAATTTTTCATATCCGATTTTCTGTGTGTTTCCACTGCTGCTTTTGTTTCTTCTATCCACAACAGCATCTAGGTCTCACTCCATTAGAGAAGCAACCGTGCAGGATCTTCAACTTGCTTTTGAGCAAAAAAGATTAACCTCTAGGCAGCTAGTTAAGTTCTACCTAAATGAAATCAGGAAGCTCAATCCATACCTCAGGGGGGTCATAGAGGTGAACCCAGATGCCTTGTATCAAGCTGATAAAGCTGACAGAGAGCGCAAGGCGAAAGTGCCGGGTTCACTTGTTGGCTTGCATGGCATTCCCATTCTCCTCAAGGATAACATTGCAACCAAGGATAAGATGAACACTACTGCAGGTTCATATGCCCTGCTGGGCTCCATTGTGCCCCGGGATGCTGGCGTGGTGGCCAAGTTGAGGAGAGCTGGAGCTATTATTCTTGGAAAGGCTAGCTTGAGTGAGTGGGCTCATTGGAGGAGCAGTAAAGCACCCAGTGGGTGGTGTGGCAGGAGTGGCTATGGAGTGGTGAGCTATGGAACATTTTACAACTTTGCAATGCTGAATCGAATAACCTAAACAGTGTATTAACATTGTCGCTTGATGAACTGCAGAATCCTTATAATTTTTCGGCAGATCCTTGTGGATCAAGTAGTGGATCGGCAATTTCAACAGCAGCAAATATGGTAGCAGTATCACTTGGGACAGAGACTGATGGCTCCATCTTATGCCCGTCCTTTGGTAATTCTATTGTTGGTATCAAACCAACTGTTGGCCTTACTAGCCGAGCAGGAGTCATCCCTATCACTCCTAGACAAGATACTGTTGGGTGGGTAATCATCTTCAATTTCTCTGTTTTTTGCTCTTGACTCTGCATCGCATGAAGAGAGGACTTCTTCATTACCTTGTTGAATTGAAAACAGGCCAATGTGTAGAACAGTAGCAGATGCTGCCTACGTTCTTGACGCGATTGCTGGCCTTGATTATTCTGATAAGGCAACCATCGAAGCATCAAAGTACATCCCGCGAGGTGGCTACAAACAATTTCTAAAGCTTGATGGACTCAAAGGGAAGAGATTGGGCATACTCAGGAGTCAATTTGCTTTTAACGGAGAGCCTGCCCTAGCCAAAACATATGAGCACCACTTCAAGACTTTAAGGTATTAAACCAATGCTGTAATCAATGTGATTCTAGTTTCTTTCTTTTTGTTATGAAAACAAGTAGCTCAAGAATTTTTCTTGCACAAAAAAGGCAACAAGGTGCAGTTTTGATAGACAATCTCGAAGTAGAGCACCAAGATGTACTCTCATCAAACTACGAAACGATTGCAACAAATGCTGAGTTTAAATTGGCCTTGAATTCTTACCTGAATCAGCTTGTTAAATCTCCAGTGAGATCCTTGAAAGATGTCATAGCATTCAATAACAGAAACCCTGATTTGGTGAGTATTTCAGCAATAAACATGTATGGATTACAGATTACCTGCTTATCAATAAAAACAAAAGCATAGACAGATTGCCTTGAGCATATGCATTTCTTCAATCTATATTGAAATTGAGAAAAAATGATGGTACAGGAAAAAGTGAAGGAATATGGTCAAGATCTTCTTCTGGAAGCTGAAGCTACAAATGGGATTGGTGAGAAAGAGAGGAAAGCATTGTTAAATTTGGAAAAATACTCAAAAGATGGATATGAGAAGCTGATACGTAACAACAAGCTAGATGCATTGGTGGCGCCTTTGATATCTCACTATATTGCATACAATGGATATCCAGGAATTAATGTTCCTGCTGGATATGATAAAGATGGGGTACCCTTTGGAATCAACTTTGCAGGGCTAAAGGGCTCGGAGCCAACACTGATTGAAATTGCATACAGCTTTGAGCAAGCCACTAAGGTCAGGAGGCCTCCATTCTAGCTGTCAAGCTATGAAATTCTAATAGCTTAAAAAGTATTAGTGTTCAACGATCAATGATGCTGGAAAAATGCTAAATAGATTTGCTATGAATAAATTTTGCACCTTATTTGCTAAAAAAAAAATGCAAATTGAAATCAGTTTCACGAACCAAGTCACCATATCTATATAATTCAGTCATACTTGGAGAAAGTTGAGGCATTTTCTCTAACACCTAGTGGGCAGAAACTTTGAATGACCAAAATCCAGACATAATTTGTATCGCTACTGGCTATTGCTTGGTTCCGACGGAAGGTTATGGAACACTTGAATCCATTTTCTATTTGGTACCTACCATAAAGCATCAAAGACCAATGGTGATCATTATTATGTTCACCAGACTGCAGAACAGTTGAAGTTCCATTATCTGCATACATATCCTAGATGAAAGTTTACCATAAAAAGTGGAAGCAGAGGTCAGGCATTGGTCATACCCACTATGCTTCAGCCTTCTAGAAACATCAGACATCAACACAATCAACGAATTGTGCAAAAACACAGACAAATAAATCGTGGACATCTGGATCTTCCACATTAGAAAATGAACTTTGAAGTTACACACTAAGAAAACCCATCAAGTTGCATAACTACATTTGGAAAAGATAAGAGAAAACCAAAGGATACAAAAATATAGGTTGTGCAGTTGATCTGGTCTAAAACAGTTGGCTCAACCAGTTGGCCAAGGAGCTCCATAACTGTCCACTCATGGCTACTAATTCTTCACCTCTGATCTTTTCCATGTTTCTTCA